CTGTTTTCATGGTTTTCTGATTATTTCACTGAAAGAACCCAGTGCACAAAGCTGGGCAGGAATACCTCAAGTCCTTTAGTCAATAATTCTGGTGTGCTTCAAGGTGCTGTCCTCTCTCCGTATCTTTTCTTTGCTTTCATTTGTGATCTTATAGTTCCACATCCTGCTCATATCCAAAAGTATGCTGACGATGTCGCTTTACGTCAGACCGTTTCTTCCTCTTCGGAGTTTGCTTCCTTCACTGAAAATCTGTCCCGGATCGAACAGTTTTCAAATCAGTCTGGCCTTAAGTTTAACACATCCAAGTGCTTGGAGTGCATTTTTAGTTCTTCCCGCTCTACATTCCCGTCAGACTCTGTAACCCTTAATGGTAACCTTTTGTCTAGAGTGACCTCAGCGAAATATCTGGGTGTTACTATCGATAATAATCTTCGGTGGTCGACACACATTCAGAACTGTACGGCAAAACTTCGATGCCTCTCTTTTCAGCTCCGAAAGCTCAGACAATTTCGCACTCCCCAACAAGTTTTGTCCTCTTTTGTTAAACAACGAGTTCTCCCTATTTTACTTTACTGCTCCCCTGTAGTTTCCCGGTCTACTGAAACAAGACTTTAAAACTGTTCGTCGTGGATTAATGATAATAAACCGTGCATCTACCGATTCATTGATCACAGAACTTATTAATGGTCATATGAAGTCTTGCATAACCTTTGCCAATAAGATTCTAAACGACCCCTCCTATCCTTTGCATTTTGACTTATCTGCTTGTCGCTCCCACTCGATCATTCGTTCCTTTTATCGGTACCTACTCTCCCGAATAAACATTTATAAAAACTCCACTGTACCGTAGCTGGCTTGCATCTTGACCAACAAGGAACGAGCTATAAATGAATCGCGTCAGTCTTTAATTGAATGAATCAAACTTGAGAGACATTTAGTCATTTTTTTACACAGCACCCTATTGAATTTGTTTATACTTCTATATTTTCTCCGGTGTGACGACCAGTGTACAATTTTTAACTGAAATGTAAGCATATCTCAGCTTGCAAGAGTTACACAAATACAAATGGATATACTGATTATTCTATGATGGCTTCCTGTGGATGGCGCGTTGAATAGTTCCGTCTGATCGACGGCTTAGTAGAGCGTCCAGAAATGCAAGCTGCTTATTCTCTTCGTTCTCTAGAGTAAATCTAAAGTTTGGATGAGCTGAATTAAATACTTTTCTCCCCCTTCTAAACAGTTTGATATAAATTGTGATGTATTAGCCTGTAGAAGAATCACCGTAAACGAGTTTGTTGGCTACTTTGTGTTTTCTTACAATGGGTAATGATGGTATATTCGGACAATAATCCTTATAAAAAAAGAAAAACGTTCCATGATTTGCATGTAGGCGGAATACTGCCAGGTTGCCCACATTGAGGCAGGTGAATTTTCCTAGGGTGTTTAGAACCGGAGCCTTCGATTGACCAAACCCTCACCCGCAAGGTAGCGAGGCTGTATGTGAAAAGCGCAATCCACTGAGGGCCGGTGTCGAGTTCATCTGATCATACTCCCTTTGAGAACGGGGTCAAACGTCCAAGGTGTTTACTTAACTGGATTACTCTTCATATAGCTTGATCTTGTCAACCAGTACGGGAGCAAAGAGCAGGACTACATTGCTTTTGAGAACACAAAATTGTTTAGTGAACAGTCAAACGGAGGAAACCCGCAACGACCCTGTTCGGTGATGGGAATTCCCGGGGACCGAAGTACGCAATCACATGAGGTATCCTGTATTGTTTAACACCACTGCCCACAATCCGTCTTTTGGGCTAGTGGTCCAATGACTGCTGGAGAATTGATAAATTAGACGCTGGTGGCGGTTAAACGGTTAGGATTACCATCAAACTGACTCAGAGGTTGTGAGATCAATGCCCACCACCAACACTGTCGTCACCGCCGAAGCCATTCCCTTTTTTATGTGCCCCCTGGTATCGTCTGCGGTTATCCCGTGTCAGAAAGTTTAGTGTACATTCATTAACGATGTTTCCATGGAAGTAATGGAGGATATTAGTCTATTTCAAAGAGGTAATTCGTCGTGCTCTACACACGACGACAACGTGAACTGAAAAGCTAGGAAGCACTGAATACAGCTGTTTTGATCTGGTTGGATCTCACCAGCTGCAGTGCGAATTCATCACCCTAACAACTGTATAGTGCTTCCTAGTTTTTCAGTTCACGCTTCCTTTGCTCTATACACGAGGAATTTCCCGTTTGAAAAAGACACTTCCGTCCACATGAAATGTTGAACTTTTCACTATGCAATAATCGTCATCTACAGGCAGTGGAAGTAAACCGCGTGCTTGATTCTCACACCAAATTTCCAGATGGTTGTTACAGTGTGTAGGATGATTAAAGTAATGATACGAGCAAATTATTCACGTATCACCCGCGTCATTTCGACTGAATCCCTCCGAACAGGTCTAGGCAGAGTAGACGAATAACTTAGAGGAAGTTCAGTTTTTGGTAGGAATCTTTGAGACAGGAACCGACTCAGGGTAAAACATTTGGTTCTTAGATGGCTCGTAACAATGAATGGATAAAATCATAAAAATGAGGAACCATGACATAACCTAAAGCAAATCGATCGATATTCTTACACACAGGTAGCAACGAGACGAGAAGTCACGCACTCCGAGGTGAAGGAAAGTACAACTTACCAGTCACGTGATTCAGTCTCATCAGACGGAAGCAGTGCTTCCACACGAGACAGGAACTCATTTAACGAGGTTGCGTGACTCAAAGCACTTTTCACGGTGGCCTGTTCATCAGGGGTCGCAGAGCGAGTTTGTACAGCACAACGCACGTGTAATTTTTTCGACAGTTTGCTCTGTGATGACGTTCCACATCGGAGAGTGATATCTTCAGACGTGGCTAAATCGGATCCTACTGTGGATAGGTCGACTTTATTCAGCTGATCTGTGAATGATACAAGTGTGAGCTAGGCATCGACGAGGAGAGTGACAGAGAAAAGGTGAAAGAGGTGAATGGATTGGGTTTGAAAAAACGTAAGCTGTTTGGTTCTAAAAACTATGACTGACAGCATGCGATTATTCGCAAAGATCAAAGAAAAGAACAGTACGTTCGAAAAGTGACCGTAAGCTGACTTTTCTGCCATTCTCCAGGATACCAGGGACCCGTTAATCTATTATAAATATACGGAACATCTCAGATTTACGGTAGAGGCCGGTGAGTTGAACAACAACCCGTTTGGAGCGCAAACCTTAACTGAATGGAGACAAGAAAATGTTTGTCAGATCATCATGGACCGTATCATCGCAAACTTTCTGGCAAGCTTGAACAACTCTTTTCGCTTTTCTTATGCTTATTGAATATTCGAAACACTAAGTCCCCTTTATCCGTCGCATCAAGACCGAAAGAAGACACACGTGTCGCAAGATGTTAATATTTCGTTTATTCTTCTCAATCGCTGACGTAAAACAAAGAAGCACATATTTATAGCAGATTGCATTTGTAAATCCTAGTGAACGGACATGTCCAGATAGACAGGGGTTATTACATTTAAAAACAAGAAGTCAACTCCATAACAAATGAACTGATTGTGTCAACAACTTTCGCGCGCACAGAGCGGGATGATGTAATCTGATCAGTAATGCCTCAAATAGTTCGACTAGCCACTGTCTAGCTGTACATATCCGTTCACCAGGATTTCCGAATCAAATGTGCTATAAATGTGTTTGTTTCACGTCAATGATCGAGAAGATTATACGAAATCTTAACAGCACGCGACATGTATGTCTTCTTTCGGTTCAAAAGTTAGCAGATTGATCCGAGATTATTTCACAAATAGAAGGCAGTTTACGTGCCTCAACAGCAAAAACCTTCTACTCGCCCAGTTGTTTCTGGTGTTCTGCAAGATGCAGTATTTTCACCACTTTTCTTTTCAATGGATGTCAAACAATTCTCCATTCCTTCTGCATTCATTAGCTATAAGTACTCAGATGACGTCGTTTCAGGCTGCAAAGCACCTACCCCTGAGGAAGCTTCAGCAATTCAAAGCAAGCTAAACGACCTTGTTACTTGGTTCTTGTCCCGTTCCATCTCATTGAATGCCTCTAAATGTAAAAATGTGTTTTCCCTCTTAGCCGATGTACCGTATTCAGTCAGCCCTCACAGATAGGTTCTCCTCCCTCTCTACCAATCGTGAACCCGTACCAAAATCAACAATAGTAAAACATCTTGGCGTCACATTATCGCACAATTTATCATGGTCTCTGCATGTTCAAAACACATTCTCTAAAGTAAGAAAGCTTTCATATCTCTCATTCCGACTGAGAATACTTTCTGTCCCCCACAAGCTGAGCATTAGGCTTGTGAATCCACGCGTGCTCCCCCCTGGTTGTATTGCTCCCTAGTGATTTTTGCCAGCATGTTGAAGAGACTTTTATTTACTGGTGAAATCTCTGAAACATATCTCGAAATAGAGCGGCATCTTCAGGGATAAACTCGTGGATTCTATCATAGACAGACTACTACTTTCAGACACTCATCACCCATTACACAACAAATTTTCAAAAGCTGCATCTGCATCATCCACACGCTCAATATTTAAACTTTTATTTGCACGCAATTCTGTTTTGCCATATCTAGCACATCTACTTATTGACAAAGAGGAAATTTCCACAGAACTGCGCAATTGCTTGCTTCATTGGAAAACACAATCTACTGCTTTCAGTTTGATTATGTAATGGTTTTGTAAATTTGAATCCACAAATATGGTGTAAATGCTCAAAATTCACCCATCCGGGTGCGTAAAGCTACTACTGACTTTTTTGCTCATTAAATAAACATTCCAATGACCGGTAAACTTCGATTTCGCATTCATAGGACAGATCTCCAGTCCGGTAACCACAAAACCCTGCCCCGGTACAGCTGAAATCTTCCAACTCCAGAGTAACCAAACTGCTTTACCTTTCTTCCTCCCGCCCGATTGAGTCGAAAAAGAAATTCCTATAGCGACAGGACCGGGAGCTATTTCTATCGATGAATATCTTATTCAATGAGAGATCACTGTAAATTTCTCATTGTACGACTTGGTGTCATGTGAAGGAATAAGACCGATAGTCATGAGGACCTACCGACAGCTCGATACCATAAAAACCACAAACTTAAGCCCACTCATTTCAACCAGTGACAATCGTCCGGATATTCGAAAGGGTAACAGCGAAGATGATGATGATGATAATCATCATCGGACAGCGAAATACAGAGAAGCGAACTTTACTGATCGCTGCCAAACTTGCAATGCATATGCAACGGGGTTTGATGGACGGGTACTGCTAACCACTGAACAGGAGAACAATTGGAGTTCTCAAACAAAGCCTTTAGTTCTGACAAGAACCTAGCCGAAAGGCGGCGGGTGAAGCGAAGCGGAGGCCCATTTACTTGGATCAATTACTCCTCCACTATTTTTCGCCGACTGAAACGCTATTTCTAGTCGAACCCCCAACCTGGAGGACCAGGAGATTGAAGTTCGTCTGACCTCTACTCATTGACCTTCCAGGCACGATAAGATCTTCGGCTTGGCAAAAGCCATCCTGTGTAGTTCGTTGGGTCAGAGGTGCACAAACCATCACACCACGTCAAGGTGCAGTCTCGTCCGGGGTGCGAGATAGATAAATAAAGAATCTTAACATTAGTCAAGTCAATAATACTATGCGCTGCTGGTGTAATTCTTAGTTAGGGTAATCTCCAGATTGCATGAAACTGAGCACATCGGTGACGACGACGGATTTGTGTTGCACGCACCATTTTGTTTCGTAATCATCTATCCCAGATTTCTATCCGACAACTGGTAACAACCATCGTGTCCGCTATGAGTGCAGACCGTTGTGCAATCGATACGATACGCTTCGGGTTTGTCAGGCTTCTATCCGCCCCATCCTCACTCATGGTTGCGAAACCTGGCGGTTAAGAGTACAAGCTGCAGATAAGCTCAAAGTCTTTGAAGCTTGGTGCTTACACCGCATCTGGAAAGTAAATTGGAGAGATCGGATTTCCAAAGATGAAGTTCGACTGCGCTGCTTGAACATTGACAAGCTTTCGAAAATGCTACAACGCCGGCGCCTTAAGTGGTTTGGTAATGTGCTCCGAAGGCCCGACACAACTCTCGTGATAGATTATAGCCCCCGCACCCTGCCGTGAATGACGTTGCCCGTTTGGTGGTCAGCAGCAGTACGATCAAAGCGAATTTGGAATTAATCGGCCTCCAATCCGCATATGGAATTCGTAAATGGAACCAGAACTAGGTCTCACTGCGTCAACCTTGCTGCCGATCACCATGTATGGGCCGACATCAGTAGAGACATCGAAGAAGCCAACTTATCCTCCCGCAGGAGTTAATCGACCAAAAGTAAAAGAAAAAGTAAGTTACGAGTGCACAATAGAGCAGACGAGACAAATCACCGTACAATTCACATGGACATGCAATTACTCGGCTCATTATCAACAATAACAAAGTACTCGGCATGTACATGGTGAATGCGGGCAGCAATATCACGTTCGATTCCTGGTGGCTCAGAGTAAACGAACCAAACATACAACATCGAACCACTCCACACCGGAAGGGCATGAGTAAAGCAATGCTACACAATTATGTGCGTTTTTCTTAAACAACAGCTTCAGTTGGGATAGGTAATGACTGCGCATATACCCGTTAGAGATTCCCTGCGAATACTGCGAGCCAGAGCACAGTGAGTGGAATGTGGAATCACACACACACTGAGATCCAGTTTTACTTGCTAATAAAGAAGAAATTTGATGGCAGCTTTTTGACGCTCTAAAACTCGTCACTTTCTTCCGTGCTGTGACACTGATTCTGCACACTGTCACAAACAAATTGAAGCCTTTAAATCATCTCCATAGAACAAATTTACAGACAGCAAACGAGGATTTTGGCTCATTTTCAGAAATCGCGCACCATAGAGAGCGAATCACTGTCCAGTGACGTCCGACCGGTAATTTTGCGTATAGCAAACCGACTCAGAGAGTCCAAAGCGGCAAGTACATAGCGTTAACAATTCCTTGCGCGCGTGCATTGAGTCTGGTGGATCCTATAGATACGTACTGGTTATGATTTCTAAAAAAGGGTTTTACAAGCTGCATAGTACTTTTAAGACTGTTCAGTAGTGAACAAGTTAAAGAATTGATATTAGAGAGAAAAAATCATTTCTTGCATGGGTTTAATACAAAACCTACTTGAACGACATTGAGCACGAGTCATAAGACAAAAGCAACCAAAGCAAACCACTATTTGTAGCTCGTAAGCACGGATATATACTTACTGGAACTGCAACTTTAATCGAACGCGAACACAACGCCTTGATATCCCAGAACGGGAGAGGTGCTTGATATGTGGCGGTGGTTTTTAACCACACCGGAACACCAACAAAAAGGGCGACAACGAGGAAAAATAATGATGCGATGACCGCACGTCGGTTACCCTCGGGAGTGGCTTGAAATCGAGCCAAGTCCTCTCGGTCAACTTCGGCCGTATCATCCGGTTTGTTGGAGGACAGTGAAGCTGCAGCTACGGGACCGGTGTTTTCTGTGGTCGATTGATCCATCTAAAACGACAGGGGAGACAGAAATGCCTGGAATCTAATTTTGATCACATAAGGATTTGAATTTGGTGGAAAAATATTTCCATGGACTATCGCTTTACTACTTGCTCGCATCACATAGCAGGAACTCCGGGCAACAAACATCTTATCTTCGGCAACGACCTACAATCCTAACTCAAAAAGGTCAGTTCAGGGGCTGAATAGAACCCTCGAGAGACAATAGTTCTTGTAACCAAGTCAAGAGTTATGTCTTATACTTAATGGAGGACTGTTCTACCGGAGACTCTTCTCGATTAGACCACTGTTGTGCATGAAAACAATTACGACACCTCATGAGCAGTGTTTTACGTATCAATAAAAATCCGTATCAACAACACGCTTAATCCAGTGGCTCTTTATATGGTTAGCCACTCGAAATCCCGGGGTTTAAGTTGCCGCCTTTCGGGTTCTGGTAGCTATATGGTTTGACATTCGCACACATGAGTTTGTGATAAAAGAACATCAGGGTCTTGATACCAAATGGATAAGTAATTCAGGGTCGGTCTTATGCCAGATTCAACTAGGGGAGTTGGCCAAAAAACATGATTCCAAACCGACCGATAGGCGGAGTACGAAACACACACACACCTTCCCGGTTGTGGGAGTGGTCACCGGGTAGATTGGGCATCAAGTTGAATTGGACGTTTGACCCCGTCCACAGGGCGTATGATCTGATTTACTGGATGTACTGGACACCGGCCCCCAATGGACCGCGGTTTTCATACACCACCTCAGTTTCAGTTTCCGTTTTTACAACCATCAACCATGCACTTTCGTGCGTCGGTTTTGGTTGCTGTCTTTGGTTGCCCATTTGGATAAAAGAGCGAAGTGA